TAATTCACATTCTGCTCTCCCGTTATCTCCCCCGGTCTTACTGTTCAAGGACTTCATATTGAATATGCGCTCTCTGAAAAGCATCTTTGCATATAGGGCTGCAACTTATGAGAAGCTGGTTGACTCCATTGTCAACCAACACCTTAAGCTGTGTGACCGTCTTATCCGATCCATCACATCATCCACACAGGAGATCTATCTAACTGCATTTCAACTTCTGTCTCCAGCAATAAATTTAAACATTTATATACTCGTACCACTGTTTGGCACGAGTCCTCTGCACCTTAACTTTCACGCTTGTGAGTTTCTAGCGAACGAATAACAAACGAACTTGTTACACAGTCTAATGTAAATTTTTATGATTTAATTTTCTTCGTTTGTTACGCGTTCTCAGTGTCCTCTTCATTACAATCTAATTAATCATGTGTCATATATTTGAAGTCATTTTCAATAGCATGCACGCCAAATCAAATGTGATAAGATTTTTTAACAGTGAATGCTGTCCACATTGGATGAATAAAGTACGCTCTTGACTTGGCTTTACGAATTAGCTGCAGTGTGTTTAGATTGATCTCATCTGAATTCGAATTCAGGCACAGAATGTTGTTAATCTGATGTGGGAACTCATGATGCTTGCGAACCCAGAGATCACGGTGTGTTCCGTGAATCGTTCGTTCACTCTGCATATCTTCCACTTAACTAGCTAGGATGATAACATTATTAAAAATACCTGCATTATGCACAGTTTCGTTTACGAGAAATAACGTAAAGTATGTTCTTCCAATAATACACCAGTAAAGATTAAAAGTTGCAAAGATCTCTAACAACATCCACTCTGGATTCCTGGGCGAGGTTGTTTTAATTTCACCACTGAAATAAAACTGTCCCGGCATTTTATCAAGGAACGGATTCCTCGGCCATCCTATGTCAGTCGTTCCAAACTCAACATTTGCACTGAGATCAGATTAGACTCAAATGGTAATATTTCCGGGGAAAATTTGTATAATAAAATTTGCATTGCCTAAGCGAATCGTTTCCAACGACTGAGCATCGGTTTCGACGACTTTTTCTTATCAGTGCAGTCGGAAATAAAGCGTAGATACGGCTAAATTCCGCGGCATTTCGGGGCTGGTTTCACCAAAATGTCCCCAATTTGACATGTGAGAACTGGTTTGAAAGGCATAAAACTTCCTCTTCCAACCAAAGTGCACTCCTTTTTATGATCAACAAGCTCCACGCTTTGCACATCAATACAGCTCGCACATAGTCGGAATTTATGCTTCAAATTGCAAGTCAATGTGAGCATATCATCAGTGAAACAATTCACGTGTTTTTCACATTTTTCATTTTTTTTAAGTCAAAGTACCAAAGGGGAATCAAACTTTTGAAATAATAATCCTGTTGTGCACTGCTTGAAGCGTTTTGTTCTACAGAAAACCGATTCATTTTTTAATCCAGTCAACTTGGTTCCACTGAACGCTGTTAAAAAAATGAAAAAATATACAAAATACAAACAAATATAAGGTCATAGATCTATTCATGGTTCATTTGAAATCAAATCCTTATTTAGATACCGGCGAGCTGGTGCTTATAACTTTTCTTTGTACTAAACTGCTTTTCTGAGGCGGCACTTGATTGATGCGCTAACGCCATACTTTCCGTCAGCGTTCAGTAACTCTGGAAAGCGTATTCCTTAACTTACGCGCAGTCATTTACTTTCACATTATGAGACTTAACGTTTTAAATATCGTGAACTAATCAGCACAGAAGTGAAGCCAAATTTAATCAATCAATCCCTCTGGTCGTTTAAGCATTGAGCCGCTCCTAAAAATGTTTATCGAATTGAACAAAGATCCCCGTCATCGAGAGCCAGATTGTTGTGACCTGCTAACAATATACACCCACATACATACGATCTTCATTTGTTCGCAGTTGTCTTAGTGTTTTGATTCACTCCACGAGTAAATCTAGTTGAAAAGTTATTGTACGCGTTCGTTGTCGTGAGAGAAAGAGACGCCTTCAGTCTCCTACGCAAAATGAAGTTTTGAAATTCACAAATATGTGACGGCTATTTTTTGTTCGACCACGCCAGTGTGGGCGTTTCCTTTCGTTTTGGATGTCAGGTTAACTTATCTGCCCACCAGCTCTCTCTCACTGTCGATCTCTGTCTCAAATAAATCTCGCTGAACTAGAGACTGTGTGTATATGTGTTCCTGGGGTACAAATCGGGTGACCAATAATCAACCAGAATCCATAAAAAGAGTCATTGTGAATACCCAAAAAAGGGTTTAGCAAACATATTCACAGGTTTGACGGAAATACTTTGTTTCCAACCCCGCCCCGCCCCTCCCTCGGCATATTGTATTCAAAATGCCTCCAAAGATCACCTTTCCCAGGTAGAATATCACTTGAATAGCTTGTATCGGGTTTATTTTCCTCCAGGGTTTCTCCATCAGTCTATCACATTTATTTCCAGTGTTCTGATCACCGAGAAACTCATACGCCACATTACACAAACCTTGTCGTGTACTCATATGTGTTGTCGAATTCCACACACAGATTCTATCATGGTATATTCTTTTCAAAGGTTATTTTCTCAGAGATAGGTATAAAGTAGTAAATACGGTACTGATGACGACAAACCGTCTCCCAACTGGAACATGATAACCGATTATCCTTAGGATGACTTGTAAATAAATATCATTTTTGTTCGACTCCATTGTGCCGCGGAATTGAGAAACATATTATACATAGGTTGTGAATGTTTCTCAACGCGTCTTAACCCCGGAGCTTAGTGCTGAGAACAGCAGGGTCTGTGGCTCACAAAGATGGGTTATGCTATATCGTGTAAAATGGAAAATGAAAAACGGTCTGATCAGTCGCCCGGTGACCGAGTGGGTAGCATGTTAGCGTCCTGCCTGTGAGCTCCCGGGTTCAGTCCCCAGGTGAATAGATGGATTCACACTGCTGGTGAGACCCAACCAGGTCGAAACAGCTGTTCATTGCTTCCTACCTTTTCAGTTCATGTATCATTTGCTGTAAACACGACAAATTAACTTTTGATATGTATATATTTCATTACCATTTTCCGGTTAGTGTATTTGTTATTGTTGTTTTGATCTAAACCAACCCTCGGACCACAATACTAATTCACACTAGTTTATCTAGAGTGACATGCGGGGCTTCAATCAGCCTCTTCCGTTTCAGTCACCATTTCATTTGCAACACATTGACGCGCTTGCCACCACACGGGATTGTTTCCTCCAAATCTTACGTTTTTATTGTGAACATAACACGATGAATGAGCGACACACTACGTTATCCTGTCAAACCTCGATTTGATTCAAGATTTGGTTAGAATTTAGAAGATATTTGATCGCTGCATGTTTCTAATCACAATACAAGATTGATCACATGGTTTCAACCCCGTGTTTTCTCCAAAATGAGGTCCGATGGTAAAAATAAATAAAAAAGGCTTCCTGGTCTCACGTGTATTGCGTAGCGATGACACAAGAACACAAGTGTTCATATAATCCTAATAAAAAAGCGTGCGAGTTATTTTTCTGTATTCAATTGGATCTCTCGTAAATTAGGTGTCATATGGAGTACAGTTATCCCCCTAAGGAAGATGTCACTTTCCAAACATGGGGCAATGTTAGTTCAATATGATTGCCTAATGGTCCAAGTCGGTCACATGGTCTACGTGAAACATTTTTCTCTTAAAGGCGTTAAAGGTGAATGATACTTAGAAGTGGTCACAAATGATCTAACTACCTCTCCTCCCCTCCTCTTGCACTCGGAGACAAATTATGAACACATTGATAGCTGATTACGAGCGTATGGATTGACAACCGATACTCTAACGCATCGTTTAGCTCACAGTGTGCACTCAGCAACTATGTATTTGCTTGTATTCAAATCATATGAAAAGTCAACAGTATTATGTTTGGAGTAGACGTACGAAGGACACAAGCGACTCAACGATAACGTTGAGAGAGAACACCGGTTATGACAACCGTCAGTGTGTCTATTTTTTATTAGATATTGATACACAAATATATCAGGTATGTGAGAACGACGCAATGACGCACCAATCGATCAGATTGCGTCCATGACATATCGATTGATCGATTGGACAAACATTGGCTGATCATCCAATCGGGCTCAGTCTGTCTGACGCGTTGCGAGCGTGCGTGTGGCCTGACTCGGAGGCGTGCTTGATCGGACGGGTTGCTTAAGCTTCGTCTTAACAAACAGTCGCCATGGCACCCGAGCCCTGACATTGCGGCCGCCTAAGCACCTATACAACAGGTGCTCCAACCCCCCTGAGTTACAACGCAGTGCCCACAGAATCGGATCCTTTCCATATTTGATCACTCACCTAGCATACAGAGGTATACAGGCCACGTCAATTATCATGTCGGCAGTCTGTCTCAGTAGGTCTGCATCTTCGAATCAACTGGATTCGAGGGAACGCCATCCATGACTGAGAACATTCCTCAAATTCCGTTATTTTTTTCTGTCATTTATCCGAGACATATTTGTATGTGTGAGTAAATTTCGAAAAGGTCACTAGACTCGGTACGTACCCTGCGGCGGATAGTGTTTGAACAGGTCATAACTGTCCGTGGTGTTTCACAGTTCATCTGGCTAAGTATCGGTAGTACAACTGCATGAACGATGTCCACGTGTGGACTAGAGTCTCCCCAAGTATGCTCAGAAGTGAATTGTTCTCAGTTATCTGACAGAACAACACGTCTTTACACTCACCATCTTAGCTTTCTAAACATGAGGTCCCGGGTTCGATTCAGTTGGGTCAACGGATTCGCACTGCTGGTGAGACCAAACAGCTGTCCAGCACTGTTCCCTAGCTTTTCAGTTTAAGCTTCACTTGCCATATACACGACGAATTTCCCCTTATAATCTTTCCTTGGTGAACCAGACATTTATCCCGTCTCTGTTATCCCCGGTTTCTGTTTTCATCTCTTGTTTGTACACAGCAATCGAGTTCTCTACGTTCAATAGCCAGAAATGCGGAAAAGACCACGATGGAACTATCCATGCAATACGATCGGGTCACACTACAGTTGATTATATGTCTCAAAGATGCGCGGAATGTGCGATTACAACGAAAAGATGGTACGTTCGTATGCTTCAAAGATAAACCTTTCGTTTCCCATATGTGTTTGTTCGGTGTTTAACATAAGCAAACCTAGGAATAGAGTCCGGGAGTTGCAAAACAATTCTGGTCAAAACAATCTGTACACGCGAATCGTTTGATGAGGTTTGGTTGATTAGTTGGAACGAGAAAAATGCGGAAGTTTTCTCCAAATTCAAACAAATTGCATCAATTTTGTGCGGCATCGATCGAGGCAGCAGAAGACTGCCACTTCACAAGCACTGGTGATGTCACTTCGGCTGGAGATGAAACGTCTGCAAACAAATTTCCAAGCTCGGCGAACAGGCGAAATATAATTCAGTTCACCCGAGCCACGAGAACCGATTTTCAATACATGACCCATATTGTCTGTCGGAATCGTCCGCCGGTAGCCATTTCGCGTAGGCTCAGCTGCTTATGAATAAACTCCAGGGGACCCGAGGTGATTCGCATCAGACCTATCGAGCACCGATGAACCGGTTCGGGAAAATACAACATTAGGTGCTAATTTCCCTAGCGAGTGTTTCCCTATAGACATCTATAAATGACCATTGTTGGAATAAACCTTGAGTATTGCAATCACGTGACTATTTGACACACGTGTGTGAACGAAAATAGTGTGAGTAGACCCGATCAGCTGACCAAGAATAACCATCATGATTTGTGATAAAATGGGATTTACATGACCCGTGTTTTCACAATCGCCATGGCTTGGTACGTGTGATCTATCCATTGATCATTTTGAAATCAAATTTATGGTACTTTGAAACCAATCATTGGAAGGTTGAATTAAAAAAAGATAGTCATTTGAACAGTTGATAAAAAAGTTCATATAAAAGTTCATTTATGCGGAATCCAGACATGGGTCCGAATCCCATGAAGTCTACCACCGATATTTTTACAATTTGAAGACAAAACTGTTGTCTCCCATGCTCTGTCAAACAACGAAATTGCAAGGAATGTTTAACCACATCCTGAACTTCATTCGATATTATTGAAACACCTAGTAACTGACTTATTCATTCTCATTCATATTATCAAACAAAGAGTGAGAGATTTTTTTCTCATATGTTAACCTGATGCTAATAGAGAAATTTTATCTTCTTTGTTTTTTACCATGTTATAGCTTGTATTTTTGTGCGTACTGTGCTCTATAAAGGAGACAAAATACTGGCCACCGCTCGAAGCTCATTGATCAAAACTGGACTTTCCCCTTTGTGTGATTGGGATCGTAAGAAAGAGTCCAATTCTTGTATGCATACCAGCAGCCTTGTTCGGTCACGAACTGTGAGCGATCCGTTTCCGCGGGGAGAACGCATCGAATTCCCGATCGATATGAATAGATTAATTGAGAGTAACACATTGGGTCTCATTTTATTCCTGTGCTCCCGGAGTCGATTTGGTCAAGGTCGACTGGTTGGACAATGTGCTATCGGTGCGTCCGGGTTCACCGAGGGAGACGGGACCCATCTTTGGGATCAGTTGGTAGATGCTGTGCGCAAACTAAAAGAAGACGAAACAGATCAAGCGACCAGCACACCAGTATTTGCTAGCTGGCAAACGGTGACTTCATTGACTGGTTGACAATATTCTGTGTTATCATCCACCCACCCACACACAGACAGACATACAATGCAATCACCCGACGGACACAAACCTTGAACGTTGAACCCAAATGGAGTTGAATGGGAACCACATTAATTGAGGTTTTCTGTGAAAAGTCGAACACAACAACAGTACTGGATGTAATGCATTTGCATATTAGTGGTTCTAACCATTCATCTCCCTACATGGGAAATTAGGTAATTCTGGATTTATATCTGATTTCGTGAACTTGTCACCTTGATCACTTCATGATTAGTATCGATCTATAGATTGTGACTGCACATGTGTGACTCATCAAATCGGACTGGATTATACATAGTTCATTGCTGGTGCGGAAGTGTGTTTGTGCACCCGTGCGCATCCGTACCAATCGCAAACGAGACATACATACATATTCTCTGAAAGACCGCATTCGGTGACGCTCGGCGATTGTTGTATTTCCTCGTTCGACGCTATCCCTCCCAACCACCCACCTCTCGGCCGCCCTCCGATCTTTGTTTCATCTGTACAAACTGTGTGATCCATCTTCATTTGCCTGACTGTTACATGAAAATATCATTCGTATAATTTGTTCTCTCTCAATCCCCCTNCCCCTTCCCCGACCTCTCTCTAAGGCTCGCTTATTTGTCACATTTGAAGATGTGCACACTCATAAGAAAACACCTCACATTGTTAATACAATCATTACTACTTCCATCATATAAATACTACTGCTAAATAGTTTAGTAGAGTTAGTGACAGACAGAAGCACTGTGGATACCACAGGTGAACAGATCTACTACTATCTTGCGAAAAAAGCCTATTTTGTCTGTTCTCACTGACGCTTATAGCCTACATCTGATTTCAAGCCGACACGCGATCATCACCCCCCATATTAATAATCGGTCAATAATCAGCGTGGTTCAGAGACAACAACAACAGTGACAACAACAACAACAACAACAAAAACAAGAACAACAACCGAAACGAAGGTGAGAGCGAATGCAAGAGAATGATGATATGGACGGCACGTTCGGGCAGAGGCGCACGCATCCCACATATACCTGCGCACGCTCAAACGCACGCACCCGTCGAATGAATGTCAATCTCAATCAGTGCTCGGCATGAGGCGAGTGATATTCCGATTCTCTTGTGTAGTTGATAGTTCGGCAAAAAGGAGTGCACGCGCAAAGAGGTGTGTGTGTGTGTGTGTGGTGTCGTATGTACGAACGCGAGCAAGGGCACGTGCACGGACGCACATACACACACACACACACGCATACCGCACGAGGGAGTGATGTGGTTACTATTACTGTACAAGTGCTACTACGTCGCTTGCTGCTGCGCTGCTTTGCGAAATCACGTGACAATAGGATTGAGATTGCCCATTCACGCACGCACGCACGCATGCATCCCGCACGGGCTGATGATTGCATCCTTTCCACGACTTGAGGTATCAGTTGACTTAGATTTACTTTTAATCTGATTACACTATAGCCCACATTTCAAATAAAACAACAGAGTAGCAAACAAACTATATATATATATATATATATATATATATATATATATATATGCCGTGGGACGGTACTATAAGAGAAATCTAAAATGCGCTATTTCGGTAAGTAAAATATCTCAAATGAAGCACAAACAGTATGTTGCTTTACTTTCGTAAGCCCTGAAATAAAGCAACAACTGAATGCTTACGGTTCCGTATGTCCACGTTAAGTGAACTCCGTTTTCAGATGTGAATAGATTACCAGGCAGAGATGATCAAATTGTCTCAAAAAGCTGATGATAGTAATAATACTAATAGTAATAGTGGTAGTAGTAGTAATAAAAAGTGTCTTGTTTTGACGGTATCTTCCCTCTGGTTTGGCTACATAACAGTATCAGTTTTTTATTTATTTCATATCTCGTGATTGCAAAACAATATGCCGTTTGTATCACATCTCAGACTTTTACTTAATTTAACGAAAAGTGCATTTTAGATTTATTAAAAATGAAGCCATATGAAATGGGCCAAACGGTTCGACGATAGGGGAAAATCGTTTAAACAATCCCCAACCAATATGTGGTGCGGCATTTGATACGATTACGACGGTCAGCGTACGATCGCCACGCCTTCGCATTCCATGATCAAGCTTTGCAACATCCACACTATCGGTTTGACCGAAAGATTATCGGTCTTGGCTAAAGCATTGTGGGCTTTGGTTAGAGCTTGATGGGAGGTGTAAACAGTGATTTCATCATGAGAACGAAAAGCGGATTCATATTTGTTTATCCATTCATCCGATCATCCAGATTACTCGTGATACGATGTGTGTGATATGTGTTTGACGGGGGGGGGGGGGGGGGGGAGGGGGCGACCAAGGAAGCGTTAGCCCTTGCACAGAACAGTTTGGACACAGAGGGGGTTTGTGCAAACGAACGCCCCCTCCTCCCCCGCTTCTACTGGGGACAGCATCCGCCTCGATAATCACCTACAAACTTAATACATTGGTGGAAAGCCCCTGTTCTATCTAGGTGTGAACACCACTGTACTGGTGAGTGAATTAATCGTTCCGTTGTTCAACCACGTAGCGTGGTGGTCACTAATCCGTTCAGCGAATCACCGGACTCTGCGACCTGTGCAGTTTGGTCCACACGAACGAGTAAGTGGGTATACAGAGAATGAGACCGAACAGTTAGGAACTTTATCCTTCAATCATAAACCCACAACTAGCTTAGACGTGAAAAACACACGAAGCTTAGGTGCACAGAAGTCTTATCGATCGCGTCGGATAATCTTCTTTATGTCTCCTTTGAACAGCAAATAAATGTACACGGACAGTTTTCTTAATATCGGTAAGTGTTCTCTATGCACTGAATCATTTTGTTCGCTAAACCTTCCGGGTGACAGTTACGTGCAAAGCTCGATCTTATAGCACGTAGCACTTCTTCTAGCATGTCCTCACTGTAAATATGTCTTGCCCTGTCCATTAGACAACGAAACCAGGTTCTTTTTTTTTACTGTAAACCGCGCGAAGCTTCAGGAATGGATGTATCGGTCTTTTAAATGTGCCTTTTTATGCATGGAACGCTGCAGTGAACCGTCTGTTCGACGGATGATGTAGAGATTTAGAGACGGAAATCTGTTGGTACATTCTATTACTAAATTATATGTTATGTTAGGATGCGTAATGCTTAACCTGCTCAGTAGGTCCCTTGTGTTCGGTGTAGCGTGATTCACACAAAATATCATCTAAGTACCTCGTGTATAATACACAGTCTTCAATGGATGACTGAAAGTGAGTGTTTTTGAGGTTCGCACTCGAAAACATTCAACAAATACTCAACATGAAATACTCAACACATGAAAAAACCGGTCCCAGCGGAGACCCCACGTCCACGCACTCCCTTTGTCGAAGATCTCATTGTCAAACTTAAACTGAGCATTATACATGCAGAATTAAAGCAGCCGTTTTAGGTCATCGAAGGCGAGGATGAGCGCTACATTAGTAGTTTGTACATAACTGCATAGATGTTCAATCGGTTCGCTGATGAGAACATTTGTGAGCAACCGGCTATGGAGCTACAGAGCAATTGAAGACTGCTCGATGTTTGACTAATTCAAAGAAGAAGCGTTTCGAAGCACCTTTTTGGAACGAAAAACAAGTATCTCAATATTTAATACAACGATTCCAATACACTCTTTTCTATAACCTTTTCAGTTTATGATATCCGAAATCCAACTTAAGATGTCTCAATATAAATTTAAGATGTCCGAGTATGAATTTAAGATGTCATGTTGCTATGTGGATAGTACCTTGCACAAAACAGGGTGAAAACATAGCAACATGACATCTTGAATTAATACTCGGACATCTTAAATTCATATTGCAACATCTTAAACTGAAAAAGTTATAGAGTAGTCAATTTGGAATAATCTAGTGGATTGCCCACGAACACTGGACACTGTAAGTGGTCTTGGTTGTGGGTTTCATTTTTTCGAAGATAGTTAATTCCCCACCAGTTAAATGTGTTTGTTGTTGATAGAAAGATTTTGTAATAACAGACAAAGAGCACTGGACAGCTATTTTGTCCTGTATGTAACTCGTCAGCAGTGCGTACATTTCGTTTCACCGTCAGGACTTGAAAGGCGAACAGTTGGGTCGGAACTTCGAACCCTTAACCGTGGGCTTCAAGGTCGACGGTCATCACCTTGTGCGAACGGTTTAGGCATTTAACAATAGCATATTTAGATTTATCCATTCGATGTTTTACAGGCACTAGGCACTGTTGGTAGTCTATGCACTGTTGACGAGTCCCAAACAGGACGAAACAGCTGTCCAGTGATCTTTGTCGGTCTTCACAACAGCTTTCCATCACTCTTCCACCCTATTTGTGGCGAAAGGCTCTTTGCGGCTAGAACACAAACGGTCTGACTTGTACAAACGTGTGAGGGGAAGCACACAATTTGTGCATAAGAAAGGAGAAATAATCGGAACTAATCTGTCCAGAGAAACGCGCATCTTCGTTGTTTCAATTCATTCCTAAACCGAAAATTTCACAGCTACGGTGCGTGCTAAAATTTTCGGGAACACCAGACTTTTCGTTATCTAGTTTATCTGTTAATCATTCTGTAACGAGTGATTCCAGAAGTCTTAGCGAATAAGAAGCAGTAAAGGCAGGTGACTGTTGATTTATGATACAAATGTCATTCACTAGTGCACTGTAATGGGTTGTGATAAAACTAAAGGAACAATAGACTATTAGTAAAGGTAGATTAGAGTTTGTCCATTTTTGCTCTAAAACGTCCGTACACCCGCTATCTACCGTTGGCAAGGTGTGTACAAGCTGTGGTCCTAATTTTCCCCCCATTCTACGCTCCAAATGACCTCGAATAAAATATGGGAGAAATCGGATTATGCTCTTTCGATTCATTCGATTGACTGAGAATCCTGAAAGGTCGTTCCTCGAATTGAGAACACGACTGCAAGTAGGCGGTTTCAAAATGT